GTGACACAGATCACAGCATATTATATTGAATTCAGTGGTTATTACACTAAGAATTGCCCTCTGAACATTCATGACTAAGCTTTACAGCATTCCACGTGCTCTTTCTGGCAGACCTTATTAAGTTCACATTGGTAGAATCCAAACAGAAAAGCTGACTCCTACTTGCTCCTGAAGCCTACGGAGGCTTGATATGCACTAGTAAATGGTGTATTTTATCATAACTAAGAAACATCAGCTGTTAGATTACAAAAATGTTGTGGAGATGAGCACTGTAGTTACCCACGACATAAACACGTGAAGGTCAACTGCAGGACAATGAAAAACATGACACAGGCCTTGTCTACCATGACACCATAGATTTGCCTCTACTTGGATTTTTGTTGCTTATAAATAGCCTCAATGTTTAGAGCAAACAAACAACTGCACACACAGCTAACAAAACAAAACAAACAAACAAAAACCAACCCCAAACCCAAAATCTCAACAGCAAAAACCAAAATGCACCTTTGTTTCCAGAAGGGCAGAGCTTAAGATAACCATCCACTAAAGTGGATGCACTGATGTTCTAAGCAAATAAACCCCAATGTGTGGGGTTTCCATCCCTATCTCCTGCTTTGGACACGTATGCCTTATATAAACCGTTAAGGGGAGGAGAAGGCGGCAGGTATAAATAAACACATGAAGCCTTTCCATAGTGTGAAGAAAGTTTTTGCACATTATAAACTGGGATTTTTTCCTCTCTGATATGTCAGTATCGCTTTTACTCCCTATACTACTAACCCTCCTGACACTTAGGAAACATTTTCGGCTCAGAACCTTGACTTCTTTTATTGAACAATTAAGCAGTACGTCTCATTTCCCTTGCAACTCAGTGACTGGAAGAAATGACAATCCTGGAATAACCGTGTGAAATTACAACGGCATAAAATGATAATCAGTAATAGCATTATGCAGTAATGAGCGTATCTGTTAGGCTGTGGTTTTGCCTTCCGAGAGATTTATGAAACACTCATCCCTCTACTGGCTGACGTAACAGAGTAAGTCCGTTAGTCAGTGGGGGGAATTTCAGATTACGCTGTCAGATACAGAGTCTGCATGAGAAAAAACTATGGAAATACGCCGGTGTCTGGTCTTGAAGAGTTCCATGACATCATGAGGAGAAAAGATGACCTCCTGACAATTTTCAGAACAGATGCAGCTGGTGTGTGAGCTGCACAAGCGTTGAGTACAGTACCTAGGCTAAGCTCCACGGCTGGGCTGAAAAGGCAAGGCCTTACACATGCCTGAAGCTTCCTCAGACCAGCAACTGCCATTCCACCATGTACGCTGTTTGAACCACCCAAGTATACTTCAGCTGTTCAAAAAAGATGGAAAACCAGAACATCACGCTTTCTCAGTACATGGACAGAGGGCTACAGACAATCTCCCCTTGTTCCACAGAATCCCTGCCTTCTGCTGCAAGACACTGCCTGTTTGTGAATGCAGATTTTCTGCAAAGCTCTGTCTGTGCTTTGGCCAGGGCTGGGGAAGGGGCAGCTCCTCGTGTCCAGCCGGAGTGGTTAGTTAGTTCAGTCCTTGAGCACAGAGCTTGCTGCAGTTTTATTTGTTACTGCCTTATACAAAGGGGCTTCAATTAGCTGTATGCTGTCTGAGACAAGACAGCCTTTATAAGCTTCAAAATGGCCTACAAACAGTGCTTCTATTCCTTCACCGATGCGTGGGCTTCTCCCGTGGGTTATACAACGGCTATTGAGTTACTCCGAGAGCTGCATCTGCGTTCTGTCTGGATGGAGCCTGCTTTTTGGTGGGGTATTTATAAAACTAGCCAATTTATAGACTGCTCAAGTTTGCCTTAAGAAACAAGGTGTCCTTCAAAAGATAATTCAGAATGAACTCTGCAAGCTACGTAAAGAGAGGAAAAGGTCAGTGAAACCAAATGACCACTGGAGCAGCAGCGCTGACACGGAAGGACTGCATGCCTGAACACAGCCTGGGGGAGGTTAAACCGGCTCCCATCTGGGAAAGAACAAGGCTCTGAAAAGGAATTCTGCTCTTTCTAGCTGTCACAGGCAGGGTGTCTTAAATGTGTGGGAAGAAGGAAAAGAGGTAGGGCATAGCTCATGAAAGAGAGAACGACACATAACACCACTGAACTGCTTTAAAAAAAAAAAAGCGTTTCACCTGGAAATAAAATCACTAGGTTTAATAGACAAAACCATTTTATACAGGGTTTTGTCAGCTTCAGTGAAATCAGTGTCCTTCACTTCAATAAATAGTGTAAGAATCGGAAGTAAATGCATTCCAGATATAAGGTACACCGTTTGCACCAAGAGTAACTTACTAAAGAAGAGGTATTTTTATCATTTTGGATATATGAAGACTCTGTGTCACTGTAATACTTGAATATAGTACACACAAATCCATGTATTCTTCTTTTAAAATGCATACTTTTATACTTTTCTAAACCCACCGCAGTTCTGTTGGCACTGGTAAGTGCTAACTACACTGAAAGCTATTCTCTACAAGGAAGTGGGGAGGAAATACGACAGTAATGTATCAAGATGATTGGTAGCCAGATGTTACAGCATCCTCACTACTCACTTGGAATGCAGACAAGCAGCAAAGATGAGATTTTGAATTCAAGGGTGATCTGAACTGAGACAAAAAGGGCAGTATCTTAATGGCAGAAATTAAGACGCCAGAGTCCACGATTCTATAGGCCTCGATCTGTTGAAAAGTCTCTGGAGAAGTCAGTAGTTTCTGAACTTCTACCAAAATAAAAACCATGAAAGCATTTAAAAGAAGAGCGAGGCTGCAAAGTACTAAAAACTGGGGCTGTCAGAATTCTCGCAAAGTGCATACTATTAGACTTACCCTTGTCACACGTGCATTGAAATAGGAACAGCTACTTTTGTTCCCTTCAGATTCTTGGCCTCATTCAAGACTCAAAACAAAACAAAGCTTTTGCTCTGGCCATGACTTAGGGATTGACAGCAAAATAATGAGAAGCTGTCTCCTTTCCTTTTTGCCAAAGTCAGAAGATACAAAAGCAAGTAAATACATACTTACTGCAGACACAGACAATAAATAAAGTAGAATAATGAAGGGAAAAGAGAGGAAAAAACAATCATTTAAAGTAATATTCTAGTAATTGCCTCTGACAACAGAAGTTTCTGTGCTCTGGTGGGGAAAATCACCCAACTAACATTTCTTAGACGTGCTCGCTAATGGTGCATTGCATGTTTTCCAGCTAACCCACCTCATACACCTTTAACCAGTGTCAAAGTACATTGTTTGCAGCTAAAAGCAAAGCCATAAGGAGCTGAGCACTTGATCTGCAGCATTCAGTATACCTTAGGCGTCACTTTTTAAGGGGCATTCAAATGGATAATTACCTGCTTTGTGCTAAGCTAATTATTTTCATGTCCTATTAAACCCAGCATTTGAGAGAGAACAGTATTTGGAATTAAGTAGAAGAAACATCAAGAAAATAGAAACATACACTGAAAGTCACTAAATTTTCCAGGGCAAGTTCCAACAACATTGCTTAGCAACAGCAATGGCAACCAGTTAACAACAAAGTGTTCAGTAGATTAACTCAGCAACCTGTAATTGATTTGCTGAAGCTGCCCTCAGGAGGCTATCTACCACTAATTGTTTAAGAGTTGATCAAGGGCAAAGCCACAGCAAATGAACCAGAAAGAGATGTCTTGAACTGGGTAGAAGATTGCTTTATTACTAAAGATAATTTTATTCTGTGTTGATGTGACTTGCTTTTGATAACTATTAAATAAGGCAAATTAAACAGAAGGTTTTTTGTTTTTTTTTTTTTCAAAATCGAAACCACAACGCACTATTATTGCATCAAAATGCACCGTCAAATTTATTAGAAACTCTGCTATCAAGATCCTGCCTGAGAAGACAGTCATAGCTTAGGCAATAAAACTACATATACACATGAATTATCATCTGAACAGCTTCTAATGCATACAAATTAAATCAATGTCTGTGATTTTTTTATTCAGGTTTTAAATAAATTATGTTGGCTTGGCTTCCTTCTCTGTCCAGCACTTTGTGATGCCTTTTTTTTTTTTTAGACTTACTGCTTTAAAATAATTTTACTCAGAAAAGGTGACAGCTAACAACAGCTTTGTTGCTGTTTTCAGTAGCAAAGAGTTAAGTCCCCAAAGAAGCATCCTTTATTAATAAAATCCATGGCTAGACCAAATTAAATCATAGAATGGTTTGGGTTGGAAGGGACCTTAGCGATCATCTAGTTCCAACCCCCCTGCCATGGGCAGGGATGAAACAGTTACAGGAAATGGTTAAGTCTTTAACCATGCAATCATTTGTTACCAACTACTTTTCCATGCTTGCACATTTACAAACTGTATTGTCAGTATCACTGCAGTACAAACTCTGTAACATTCATTCCTTTCACTAAGGAGCTCCTTGACTTGAACATAGCTAATACCAAGCTCTATATACAGTCAGCTTCACTTGCCTGGCCAGATGGCAACATGGGTATCACCCCTCTTTCGTCACATGGAGACAAAACCTGCTAAAAATCACAAGGAACTCGAGTGTCCTGAGAGTACTATTTTGATAGTATCAAATATCGGCGGAGAGATAATGGAACACTAAAAACATGCAAACACATACAGAGAACTAGAGCAGGATAGTGTCAAACCCTGAATTGCATTTCCTCTTATTGCCATCACGCAACTGCCTAGTTGCTCCTCACTGATTCTCGACACTGAACACGAACGTGGGACTCCCTCTCGACAATTAACAGCATTAAACCTTTCTTGGATAATTCTTCATTTTTTACTTCTTTTTGGTATGATTAAAACAGTACTGCTAAATTCTATTTCTCTGACTTACACGTGTCTAAACCCACCAGGTATGTATCTTATTTATAAAGGAATAACCACGGTTTTGTTAGTTGCCTCCATACACAGTTCAGTTTCAAATTATTTAAGAAGTAGGGGGTATCTTACCAGGACTAGTCCTGTACAGCTCAGGTGGGCTGCTGACCTTTTGGCTGGAGGGAATCCGCTGATGGTACAGTGGAGATGTTTTCACTAGTAAAGAAGGAAAAGTACAATTCCTCTTCAGTAACAGCTAAAATGTTAAAAGTACTATAAAAATAAATAGAGACACGCATTTCCTTACCATATGATGTCTCTGGTGACAATGGAAAAGCTGGTGTGGATGCGACAGCTTCATTTCCGTTTTTTGTTGGGGAGAAGATTCCCCCATCTATTTCATCTTGGTAACGTGCAACAGCCATCTAGAAAGGGCACAAAAAAAGCAAAATTACAGTGTGAAAATTCCCATAACCCTACAACACAATGGGGCATTTTTCATCAGATTACAGCAGGTTGATATAATCCGATCCACTGTTGCAGCAGAGATATCCTGGAACGCTGAAAACATGCCAACACACAGAGGACAAGAGCAGGACATCTTTAAACACTGAATTGCATTCCTGAGGTAATGACATTCCTGAGGTAATGACAGACATTTGTTCTTACGCTGTCACGATGCAACTGCCCCAGCGGTTGACACTGATTTTGGACACTGAGCACAAACGTGGAACTCCCTACTGGCTATCCACTTCAATAAATCTTTCTTGGAAAAAGAAAAATCTGCATTGTTTACCTCCTTGGTCTCCCCCGCAGGAATCAGCGCTCCCGTATTTACAGCCTGGTCAGTCACCGGAGACTTCATCCATCCACACCGGTTATACGACGGCTGCCCAGGGACATCGTTGTCGTACTGCCCAACGCTTAGCTTCCTGACCCTTCCCCCTGTTGCAGGGTCATCTTGTGTACCTGTTGCGGGAAACAGTAAGGTAAACTGATTAATAGACTATTTTTGGTTTGGGGTGGGTTTTTTTCCAGTTAGAGCTGTTCACTATTGTGCCTTCAGTAACTGTTCATGAATGCTCGTGAAATAACTGGTTTCGTCACTGCTTTACAAAACCCCACAGGGGTGTGTGTGCATGTGCGAAATAAATAAATTTTAAAAAGAGCTGCAATTAGCCTTGCTGACACACCAGTGGGAACATACTTGCAGCACACCTGGTTCCAGAGGAGTGCAGCAGCACGTTTCTGCTGACGCTCATTTTTGGCAGCGGTCACTCGCTGTGCCACTGGCAGAGCCTACCTACAGGCAGCTGAACGGGAAACCTCTCGCCATCCCTGATGCACAGCAGCTCCTAGCACCAAAGCCATGGCTGCTTTCCAGGACTGCCTTTCCCCCAAAAGATCCCTCCAGCTTCTTTTTAGCTAACACAGACCCTGGCCCTTGTAATCCCAGCTCGCTGTAACACCTTTTGTGACAAACATGGCAATCACACTTGATCACAAAAGTTAGGTATTAGGTACACAGAGGGGCTGAAACAACCTTTTGGAGACTCAGGAACAGAGCCTAAGAGTAAACTGAGCCATCAGAACAATCCAGGTTGTTCAAGGGCATAAAGCAGTATTTGTTTCCAAAGTTACTATTAAAAAAGCATCATTAGATACAGCTTTATGATTAGCAGGACTTCATAGAATCACAGAACGGTTTGGGTTGGAAGGGACCTTAAAGACCATCCAGTTCCAACCCCCCTGTCATGGGCAGGGACACCTTCCACTAGACCAGGTTGCTCCAAGCCTCATCCAGCCTGGCCTTGAACACTTCCCGGGATGGGGCATCCACAGCTTCTCTCGGCAACCAGTTCCAGTCCCTCCCCACCCTCTCCGGGAAGAACTTCTTCCTGATATCCAATCTAAACCTCCCCACTTTCAATTTAAACCCGTTACCCCTTGTCCTGTCACTACAGGCCCTTGTAAAAAGTCCCCCCCAGCTTCCTTGTAGCCCCTTCAGGCACTGGAAGGTGCTATAAGGTCTCCCCGGAGCCTTCTCTTCTCCAGGCTGAACAAGCCCAACTCTCTCAGCCTGTCCCCAGAGCAGAGGGGCTCCAGTCCTCGGAGCATCTGGACTCACTCCAGAGTCACATACTTGTAAGACACATACTCAGTCATCCACTGCCACCAACAGGCACTTTCAGAATATTCCTCCAGCAACTGCTTTTTTCCACCCTTCTTTGTAAGAGTAAATCAACAATAAGAACCCCACAGTAATCCTTACTGTGTAGTCCGGGACAGTACAAAAATAACCGTATGCCTAGAAACTTCTCCGATACTCCTCTGAGAGTTTTGATTGCCTATATATGCAAAAAAGATCTTTGAGAATTATCTATTTCTCTTTAAAGAGCTGAGGATTTCTAAACCAACTTATTTTCATTGCTTGGTGTCATTCAAACCCTACAGTCACTGCCATCTGTATGTGTTGATTAAGCACATCTCCTGCACACCCTGATCATGGAGCTGAATAGGGGTTGAAAACGTGCCCTTCATCCAGATCAGCAGGAGGGCTGAAACAGCCACTTTGGCAGAGGAAGACAATAGCACACCTATTCCACACACACCTATTTCCTAATCTCGAGTAGCTGACAGAAGGTGTTAAATCTGGCATGCAGCGTTAAGTGCCTGCATTATGGGCATTTCACCTTGATAATATGGCACAATTAGAGCATCAGCGCACAAATAGGTTTCTCTAGAGCAGATATAGACATTGATTTCAGACTAAAATCCATGGTACTTCAGTGATTCTACACTGACATACACATATATCAACCTGAACAACTCGCTGGCAAGTAGTGCCTTATCCTAAAAATATTAATAAACCTCTTGTAAAACTACAGAATTAAGACACTTGAAAAATCCAGCTCTGCTACTATTAAAATCAGTGTGATAGTAGCTGCTACTAAAGCAAATAAATAAATAAAAGCCTGCTAGTAATTTCTGAAAATTCCTCTAATAGGGTTAAACTTCAGGGTCCAAATTTGGCCAGTTATTTATTTTATCAAGTCAATACAAAGATACCTTCCTAGGAGGGACACAGCTGAGATTCTGTTTTGATTGTACAACTTTGAAAATGAAAATACTTTCTAAGCACCATATTTTAAACACTTATGTAACCTTTTTTCCCATGGCTAGAAACTTTATGTTTTCTTTTATTGGTGGAAAGAATATCTTCTGAAGAGACTGTGAGCAAACCAGATGCATCAAACACGATCTTTGAAGCCAGAAAAGGAGATGAAATCACAAATCTCTTCCAAACCTCTTAAGTGATGTTAAAAAGGCATGAAGATTTCTACTGAAATTAAAGACACTTATGAATGTAGACAGAGCCTATACTACTCCAGAATTTACTAACTTTTCACATTGGGATTCTCTGTAATTTGTGTAAAGAAAAATGGGAATCACTATGCAAAATCTCAGCCTTCGAGGGAACCATCTGAGACCAAGCACACCCAGTCCCACCCCTCCTCCTCAGGAGGCAGTGGATGCCAGGAACAGCACATGAGTTTCACTCCAGTGGTAACCAAGTCATTAAGGTACAGGCAGTTTCTTTCTGAATGCACAGTAGACTACTTTATGAGAGAGAATGTCTACCTTTCGGATGGCTCAAAACAGGCTTAAAATTTAGTGCAGATTTTACTTGTCATGCCAACGAGAGGGCTTCATCATCAATGACCGTCATACAGTCATGTCATTAGTATTCACAGACTCGTGAACCTTGTAATTTCTACGAAGTTGATGTAGTCCGCAGAAAGCTGCAAGCAGGTATCTCAGGGAAACTGGACATTTTCCTTAAATAGACTGAAAGTATCAAATTCCCAGCAGATGCTGGGTGACAGAAGGGAGAAGCTGAGCTGATATATGCAATAAAGCTTAAAGCAAATAACTCAAATCTAAGAGATTAAAATAAGGGAAGACATGCAAAAAGACTTTTTCTTAGTTTATTATTTTGCAAATGTACTTCAGAGCTCCTCACTTAATGTAACAGATGTTTAGAGTTATTAATTTAAAAGGTGTCTTTTACAGTGTAAAGCGTCAGGAGCCAAGGCTTCCTAGAAGTCCCATAATTCCTTTTTGTTCTTGTAGTTTAGCTTAAAGTTTTGGCAGAGCTTCATAAATATCCCAGGAGCACATATTCATTTCTTTGAAAGCATTTTGTATGCTCCAATTTCTCTCTTTTCCCTTGTGAACTACAAAAATAATTTTGTTTTCCCCGAAGAATAAACAATAACATTCCAGCAGATTGGCATCAGTACAGCACCAGCCGTTTATCTTGTCTGATGGTTATCACCATGCCAGCGCTACAGCAAACAGAAGCATGGCCAGCGGTTAAAGGTTAATCTTTGTTTGGATTCTGCTTAGCTTTCCTGGAGTACTACTGAGAGTTATTTGTAACTATTAAAAAGAAAACAACACTAAGCTGAGAACCTTGTCTGCAGCGGTATGTCAACAACAGAGCTCTATCTCACGTACGTCCCGGCTAAACTTCACAAACCATGTTAACTCTTCATGTGTTACACGCTGGTATTTACCGAGTGCGTGAGGCACACCATTAAAAAGGTCCACATTTCCTTTCAGTTACCACAACAACTAGTGAGACGATGCTTACGCGTTTCCACTTGATTCACAAGGCTTGTGGGCTAGCCTTAAAACCACCTTTATGTCAGAGTGGGGCAAGCACAGCATATGCAGTAAGACTCCCTGGGAAGAACTTTTCTTGGAGTGGTGGGAAAACAAGCCGGACCAACAGCCCTTTCGTCCGTTACAGAAGTTTTTATAATTTGTGAAACAGAACTATCAGTCTTCCAAAACCCAGCATAGTCCATCAAAGACCTTCCCTTAACTTCTACCTAGTTTGTATCACAGCCAACTGTGCAAATTACAGTCAAACTGGAAACCTCTTACAACAGATAATTCTAGAACAGAGTTCATAAGAAATATAAAAATTTCAGCATCTTGTTGTTTGCCCTTCTATGAGGGGCTCTAAATCACATTACAACTTAAAGAGGTGCAGTCAACTTTCAAGATCTGAACAGTACTTCAGGCCATTCAACTACCCTTCCATTCCTCTGCACTGTTTTTCTTGATTTTTTTCTTTTTTAAACAAAAGCAATGCACTATAGAAAAGAGTTACACAAAGCCTATAAATAAACTTACTCAAACTTGTCTGAAGGGTGTAAAACAAGATTATGATATATTGAATCACAACCAGAGAAAAATGCTTTAGCCTCTAGATTCATACATTATTCTGGTCACCACTACAGATATGTAAAAACTGCATTTAGCAGTTATTTATCCCTTGAATAACCTGCAGGATCCATAATGTACTTCAAATAATTAAAATAATAATTTTCTCTCCTTCAGTATTAAGGAAATAGAACAGAATAGAACAGTTGGAAGGGACCTACAGTGATCGTCAAGTCCAAAGTTCAACTGCATACTGAGCTGGAACAGCAAGACAGTAGCCACCAGGTCAAGAAAAGCGATTAGTCCTCTCTATTCCGTATTTGTGAGGCCACATCTGGAGCACTGTGTCCAGTTTTGGGTCCCAAAGTACAAAAAATAGGACTGGATCCAGCAAAGGGTTACCAGAACAGTCAGGGACCAGAGTACACAACATGAGAGGAAGCTGAAGAAATTGGCTTGCTCAATCTCAGTAACAGAAGGTAAAATGGGCCCTCACTGCTGTCTTCAATTGCCTACAGGAGGGATTGTAGAAATGCAGCCAGACTCTTCCCAAAGATGCGAAGTGGTAGGACAAGAGGCAACAGAAGCTGCAGCAAGGAAAATTCTGACCAGAGCCAAGGCAAGAGAGCTGCACAGGGAGAGCACTCAACCCCTGAGGCAGGCATCTGGAAGTCTGATGTCTGCAACCTTGGTGGTTTTAAAAACTTGACTGGACACATCCATGGGCAGCTTGA